CGTACTCGTCAACAGTCCGGCCGCCCTGCTCCAGACTCAGGAACTGTCACTCCATCCTCTCAACGTAGTGATCCGGGTAATACTTCTCTCGGACTACCTCCTTCGCTCTCTTCCACGTGAGATTAGTCTTTTCCCCAGGCCTCATGGCCCAGTAGGCATTCCACCAAAGTCCCGCATCCCCTGTCAACTAAAGCTGAGCACACATGACCTTGACTGGCTCGGGACAACCCATGACCTCGAAGATAAGATCAAGGTTGCGCACCCATTCCTAAACTTGTCGAGGATCTCCCTGTCCGTTAAAAGTCGCTGGGTGAAACCCGCGAAACTATACGACGCGCTGCCCCAGATCCCGCTCGGGAACTACTACTGGTGGGACTGGAGCATTCCTATTTCTGCGATTAGCCATCTGGATGGATAGTTGACAGGGTTAGCATATAGGGGAGTTTGGTAGAAGAGATTAAATATTAATAACTCGATGATTTACAAATTTCTTGACGAGTCGTCGATAACATACAACTTATCCGTCTAACGTTCTGAATCAAATAGGAGTTCTGACTTAGACTAGAGTTCTGAAACATAGTTCTTTCTAGAGTTCTCCCTCTAGAGTTATCTGTCTTATAGGAGGATAGTTATCTAGGCCCCATACATGAATTTGAATAAGCACTTGCAAAAATAAAAGACTGGTTTAGGTGACTTACCTTGGAGGCAGCGCGAGCGTGAGCATGGTGTGGTAACTTTGACTGAATTTTGGTCTTCAGAAACGCTAACCGCGCTCTGATACCAAGCTGTAACACCCCGCCTACTATAACTTTGACTCACGAAAAACTGGGTAAAATTTTCGCGGTTATTTTCGAAATATACTGCAACTGTTTTCGAAAAATGTTTAAACTTACTAACTTGGGGGGTGCTACTTACTTACTGACTTACTTCTCTTTTTATGATACTTATGCACGTACCCAAATCAACATACAAAATCCGACTGGGGAAAATAAGGATGAGGGACAATTAAACGTGCATACATACTAGGTCTGGGTTGGCAGTACGGAAGTGTAAAATAAAGTATAGTACAATCTGAAATTATTATACAGGCCAACATAACATAAACATTAACAAATGTCCAGCTGACTCGGACACCACCACACCACCATGCTCGGCTCACGCTCCGGGCTGCACTCCATCACCTAAAAAGATAATAGTGGGGGCGTGAGTACTCATCCACTGTACTCCGTAAGAACCAACACTGAATAAACAGCACATATAATCGAATATCATAAACTCAACATTTACATAAATAAAACTGTACTGCACTGGTGCGGACTACCGGTAACTGACCGGTTCTCAGGTGATCACGTTCTGGGGGTCGCCTCCCCAGAAACCCAGGATGAATCTACTGGGAGTCAAACTGTACTGGGCGAGTGACTCTACTAGGAGTCAACATAATTTGGACCACGAACGGTTAAACTGGACCGTTCGGGTACAAGATTATAGGCAATGTAATACCCAGAGCAGGGCCCCCACCTGAAAACTTGGAATTCTGATGCAAGTGCTGATACTGGGTAGCGGTCGGAGGCTCGACTCTCCTTAGGCTGCATAAATATTTAAGCAAAATAATGCTAAGTATAATGCTCGGAATATTTAATGATATGCTAAATGCTCGGATTATTATATGCTAACACTGGACTGGCTCGGCTCGGAAAAATACTAAAATTCAGAAAGAAGACTCGGACCGGAAGTCACGAATCAAAACGAACTCGAACCGCCAGTCGAACCGACCGGTTCCCTGACTGGCCGGACCGCCGGCTCGGCTGGACTGGGCGGTCGGCGCTGGCTCGGGCTGGACCGGGCTCGGCATGTTCTAAGGCTCGATTATAAATTGTCTAAGGTTTACTTCTTGGTATTCCAAGACTTAGAAAATTATTCTAAGTACAACATATCAAGACTTGGCTAGGCTCGAGAATTAACTTGAAAAATAATCGGAACCAAACTAGGGTTCGAAGCCGATAATTTCTCGAGTCGACGAGACTCGACTGAGGCCCTGTCGTGTGGCTGCACGTGGGTTAGGCGCGGACAGAGGCCACACGGGCACTGCCGAGCATCCCCGAGGTCACTGGGCACTCGGGCGTGCTGCTAGCCACGCACCGAGGCATACTGGGCTCAACAGGCCCGGCTTGGGTCGGCACTGGGCATGACATGAGGCTCTGGCGCGAGACCTCGTGCGCTGGGGTTAGCACGATGCTGCCGAGCACCGTGCGCGTGGCTTGGGCACGCTGGGTGCGGCCACCACGCATGCTGACACTACTCGGGCTTACATCTGCGCGGGGAACGAACGGCTGGCTCGAAACCACGCATGCATGGGCGTGGACAGCGCTGCCGGGCGCTGTCAAAGGGTGTTGGGCGCTACTGGCGCGGTTACTGGGCACACGGCACGCACTGGGCGCTGCGGGCGCTGTTGCGTGCACGTGGGTTGTGCGACGCGCCTACCAGGCGCGGGCACTGACTGGAGTTAGCCTCTGCAGGCACTGGGGCTGGGCACTACCGCACTATATGTGCGGACAACGACCAAGGCCGGCCCTTGCCGGCCCGTGCCGGACCTCCGGCGACTTTTTCCGGTGACATGCATAACATAACATCATGATATGATATAAAAAGCATATTTATCACATCAAATGCTAGGACGACTCGGATCATTTTGCATGTGGCTCGGGAGGGCCTATATGGCACCTTCGAGCCCTAACTCATCGAACCAACTTTCATAACTTATAAAACTACTTAGGTCCGAATGTTTAACATCCAAAATGATGACTATGGGGGCTAATGCATGTGGAATATCTTGCATGTACAATACTAAGGCTTGGGGGGTCCAAAATGGCACATTTTCATGAACGATTTGACCGAACAAACAAACTCCAATTAGGCTCAAACTTTGTCAGCATCAATGACATGATAAATGAGGGTGATTTATATATAAATTTCGACTTAGGCATGCTTGCTACTAAAAATTTATTTTTAAGGCCATTTATTTAATAAATTCGGAAGATAGGTTAAATCACGTGCAGGGCTTGAAATAACTACATGAAAAATCCTAAGATGTCATTAATAAGCTGTGGTTATGAGATAGGTCGAGCTAACCTTCACCGAAAATCAAAAATGGCTACTAGGGCTTGAGGTGGGGCTAGTCTCGGCTTTGTGGGGTATGGCTTGCCTTGGGGCTGAATTGACCGAGCTTGGTAAACTCCAGAGGCTTATAAAAATCCAAGGAATACTTGGAAAGTGATAAGCCCTAAGAGAATTCGGCTGGAACTTGATATGGCTTGGTTCTTTCTCCACCCGGGCTAGGCGCGCGCGTGTGTGTGGCTTGGCTTAGCTCTCGGTTTCCTCTCTATTCTCTCTATATGGGCGAGTGTTCTAAGTGTCAGGAACTCACAATGGCTGAGAAATGAGCCTTAAATAGTGCTAAGGGGCGGAGCTCACAAGGTGTGAGGGTTGAAGACCAAAAATGAGTGGGAAACTCTCCACTTAGGTGCATAGTATTTAGGGCTGGTCTTGGGACATGCCATGCATGGTTTTTGGAGAGCATCTTGGTGGAATTTCAGAGTATTTTATCAGGTCAAATGAGGTCTGGTCACAGATGCACGAAGTGGGGGGACAATTCATGGTTACAAGACAATATTTTATTCCTATGTCTCCCACTAACTTTGGACCAAGACTAAGTGAGTCTTGCATTGACTTTAACCAGGGTCAATTGGACCCAAATGACACCTTAACAAGTTGGCTTTGTTCACACAAAATTGGTCCCTAGAGAAGTGGGCCGAAAAATGGTGTTTTGGGCCTTGGAAGCTGGACTGGTCACGCTGGGCGCTGGGCTGGCGCAGGGCACTGGGCGCGGCTTTGTCTGGGTTGCACAGACTGGGCTGCTGGCGCGGACTGCGCGCGGGGCAGGCCTGCTGGTTGCCCTGCTGCACGTGGACTTCGGTTTGGGCGCGTGAATGACACTTGGACCGATTTTTAAGGTTTTTCTTGTGTCCCTATGACTTAGAAAAATATATCAAGAGTTGGTTAGGACTTAGGCTTGGTCTCGGACCTCAACCCGGGACCTTGGGCGGGGTCGCGGCTCGAATGGCTCGATTAACTTCTCGGTTTTTCGAACGAGGTCTAGGACTTGAATTAGCACTTCATAATACTTAGAAAATTCTAAGTATTTTGCTATTAGGACTCGGCATGCCCTAAGACTCGATGACTAGGGTTCAGAACAAACAAAACTTAAATCGAATAAAATATCCGAATATTTAATACGAACTTAATATATTGAGCACTTAGCATATACTTAATAAATCTTGAATTTTTAAAAATTACGAATTTCACTTAAAAGTCGAGCAGTGAAAATCGTCTAAATATTATTACTGATTCGGGGCGTTACATCCATCTTCTCTATTTCTCTGTTCCGAAGTTTCAATGATCAAATTATTCATGGATTGTACTTTTTATTTCAAATGATATAAATTCCCTCCGGAAAATAATTGTTAGATAATTGTTGATATATATATATTCTATTGTTTTGTTTTAGAATAAACGAAATATTGGGGCATTATTCTGTTGTTGGCCCAGGGCCTACCAATACCCAGGACCGGCTCTCTTTGAATCTTTACCACAAATTCTTAAATTCAAGAAAGAACGAGACAAAAGTAGGAGCCAACTAAAACCGGGCCACTGTCTTCTTTTTTTATTGTGGCTGTGAATGTGCATGTCTCTGCATGCTAGTCTGCATGGCTGCTAAGGAAGCATATGAACTGACATAAGTTGATAATTCATCAGAAA